TCCGTTTCCATACCGTAGGGAGGACACGGGCAGGAGCCCAGTAGGATCCGATCGCATTGGTGCTCCCCCAGCAGCTGCATCAGGTCACACCATCTGGCCTTGCAGAAGGCTAGTCGGTGCGGATAGCCTTATACACTCGCTTTTAGTGGAGGGCCAGATAGCAATCTGGAGACTTCCCCGGTTTGAGCGCTGCGCATTTTCGTTTCCCTACATAGCAGCATCCACCTGTGTCGTTTTTTATAGCTGGGAGAACAGGGAATCTTTTACTGTACAAAATAAAAGCTTCTCTGTATTCGAACTACTTTCTGTTATCGCTAGCTGGGCTCCCACCAAAGCAGTAATAGTGACAGGTCGATCTGGAAACGAACATCGCCAACCGTATCTACATGGCACTGGATCAGAGTTACGCGTGTCTAACAAACACTGATTATGAATTAGGAGCGGGCGGTTGATCTCAGGTTAAAAGCTGGGATCATGGAGTCTTCAACAAAGGAACTGTGAAATCAGCTGATCTTTGCTGACTATAAACGGTCGACGCAGTGAGTGAGTTGACCTGAAATGTAGAGAAAGAATGTAATGCACTGTGTGCGTGTGTGTGCCAGGTTAGGAGCTGCGAGTCGATTCGCTTGCCACATAAACAATGTAGTCTGAGGTGGTGAGTGAAGGAGGATAGGGTTACGGATCAACGCTACCCAGTGACCGACCTGATTAACAGTTTTAACAATGAAAGACACTGAATGGAGTACGGTCCGTGGCTTGATAAAAATCCAAAGACACCGTTAGCTTAAGCTGCAATCAATGATGGTCTCGTGCTGGTTTACGTGAGAAGATGTGCAATGTAAGAGAACAGAAGACCGGGACGTAGCTTGCGATTGGACGAAGCTCCATGGCGATTAATTTCGAAATGGTCTGTGAAAAAAGGCATCAGACATAGTACCGGCGCCTTCTTGCTGCGCAACCGCCAACAGTCGCGCGTGGACTACGAATACTGCGAGGGTGGCCCGGTCCACTACGCAGACTCGAATTCGCGACCTCAGGATTACAAGACAGGCTTGTGATCCACGGACTGGCGATAGTTTGCGAGACAAAAGTCTGCGGTATTTGGGACAACGGGGTGACGTGGAAAATCTGATTCCCAAAGCCGTACAAATGAAAGATTAAGTGAACGAAGCACGTGAGGAAAAAAGATGGAAAACTAGCCATTTTTATGCTCATGGAAGTAGGCACACGGAGGAATACTCCGAAAAGTAATCCAACATGTGCGCTGATTCGTTATCATCTGAATCCTCCCTAAAACAAGCAGTGGAGCTCACTTTACTAATCGATCTCAGAAGCTATTCATGGCGTACCATTCTAATACAGTTTAAAAGCATTTTTATTGGAATTTTGCACTTGTGCGCCAATTCCTTACTTCTTTATCATGTCCACACCGAGAGCTACTGCGAGGACAAGTCTCCTTCCGGAATAAACGAACGATGACAAACCTGCTCCTCGCAATCAAGCATTTCAGTTTCAAAGAGTTAAATCAGTGGCTCACGTTGAATGCTTCCACTACTTGAGATTTGGTGAAGAGCATCAACGAGCACGCCAGTTTTTAACGACATCATTAATTGAATTGATCGGATTTTTCTGCTCCTTATTTTGTTGTACAACCCCGATTAGAGTCAACGGTCGTACTTTATTATTTTTTCAACATTTCTGTACTTTATTTATTATTCGCGAGAATCTACGATCAGTCTGTTGTCAGTGTATGCCTCTATAGGCGTCACTAGTGAAAATTAAGGAGTAAACCATTATTGCCATTAACAAACCCAAAACACATTAGATTTGATAGAGAAAAGTAGTGTCTTTCAATCCCAAAGCTGATGAAAAATAAGAAAGCACCAGTGGTGGACGGTGTGGATGCAGCCTAAGAAACAACATTTCAAATCGGAGAATAGTGGTCGTCGTCCGTGGACAAAAGGGATATGGCCGAATAAGAAATATTACACGGAGGATATGTAAGGTACTGGCCATGCATCGGAATCTTGTGCCAACGCTTCAATGCCACGTAGTTATTACCGGTAGCAAGCGGTCTGAGATACCGCGAGGTCACTTGCGACATCTCGAATTTTGATCATGCACCTGTATGCGCGCAGTTGATGAATGCTGGAGTCTTAGGCTAGCGCAGCAAACAGTAACAGTACGTAAGCCGTTTGAAGTGATGTTTTGATGCTCTACAACCGCAATGGCCTGGAGAAGGAAGAACAATAAGACGGGAAGAATGAGAATCTGGTGTAAAACCCAAATGCCCTAAATAAATACTCAGGGTCAAGGCGCCTATACCCTGTCAATAAATTACAGTCATAAGCAGCTGGCTATCGTGCAAAGATGAGGTGGCATCAGCTTACGGCTTTGACTACCCCGCGTTATAGGCAGCCATTAGTTCGCAGACAAATCAGCAAGACGGTCTAAATATACAGCCCGACTATGGGACTATAACAGACGCATCACTGGTGCCGATTACTGGTCATGTCCTGTAACGTCTCGAGCAAAGCACAAGGCGAAAAAGATCAACAGTACTCAATTTTGTAGTTAGTGGCTTCCCTCTCCGCTGCCAAGACAACTTTGTCCATCTTGAGTCATGCGAAACCCTACTTCCGGCAGACGGAATAAAGCTATTCTAGGTAAGAGGTGATGTAGAATGAAATGGTTACCTCTCTAAAGCGCTGAAGTACTCATGTGGTGACTCCGTATCACTAGAAGGGTAGCGAGGATCTGCCATCGCACGTATGTCGATGCAAGTATTCGCATCAGCTCAACCGATCGAATAGACTGTGCCAAACTAAAGAGCGTGTGTAACATCCCAAACATCAATTACTTGCAGAGACAGTAAGACATCACCGTGTTAAAAGAATGCAAGGGGAAATCTCGCTGCGCAGCATAGTCGTGAAACAAAAGTGTAACGTCTAACTGTTAGATAGTTACCTCGGAAGCTGCAGCAAAATGATCCGAGCGACGCGTTCACGAGGAAATGCGGACGGAAGTGAAGCATAGAAGAAATACTCACAGGGAGGCAACGCAACCTGGAGGATACAACTCAGTTCGATTAATCGGCTCAGAGAAGAGCCCCAGCTGTGATGGTAACTGGCAAGTCAGGCGAAAGAAATCAACGGGAAAACCAAGAGCACAAAATGGCCGAGTGAACAAGGCGGAATCGGGTTGGGGCGTTGAGTCAAGCACGCTTTGGACCCGATCAAAAGCAGGCGAAAGCACGCGACACTGATTCGGAGTGGACGGCGTATTGCGCGATGACAGCTGATAGACCGAGCAAGCGAAACAGACAGCCGGCAAGTGGGAATCCAATCAGCGCCGCAGAAACAAGTTGCTCACATTTGAAAGGATCGAGTGAGCCGACCAGAATGAGGTTGGGGTATCGTGAATAAAGCGCAATTTTGTTCCCGTCGGGAAAGAAGTCATCCAAACAGCTGCGAACGAACGATGCGCGCCAGGCAATGAACTTTAGCAAATGGGCAGAGTGAATCAGACATTAGAAGTGCGTTTCAGTGAGTAGTAATTAAAATAGCTTCACATTATAAAATGACACTGTGCTCTTTAATAACCGATTTGGATCGCTGCCATCTTCATCTTGATTTTTGTAGGGTAACCACACCACCAGCTGCCTTGACTACTGTGGTCAAGAAGAAAGAAATAACGGCCGCAAAAATGCAGAAACAAACAAAGGAGTATGGATGGAAGTAACAGACCATGAGAAGTAACATCACTGAAATTTAGGCCGCGTCATATCGGATATGGGGTCTAAACCCCTACGTGATTGAGCACATGGACTTAAATATGACTCACGAAAATAGGAACTATGAGTAAAGATGTGTCGTAGGTGGAGTAGAAGACTAATGATCAAACAACAATGACTTTGAAGGTACCATTTGATGAAACCGAGTATAGACCGGTTAAGACTAGCTAAACAATCCCGGTAATGTGTTTAAACAAGATCAATAAGAGGAAGTATCTTTCTTCTCGCGAGCAATGCTCTACAAAACTGTAGAATAAATGACATACCAACGGGAATTTCATGGGTCAAAGGGCAAGGAAGGGGAGAATGAAGCAGCGCAGATGTAGTGTATATATGTGTGTGCACAGCCAAGGCAGTGTGAGTGGATGATCACGGTGGGCTCAATCCATGCGATGGAAAGTAAAAACAAAGGCTCAGTGCAGTTCCAACTCCACGTCCCGCAAGGCAACCGATTAAGGGCAATATTCAGTCACGTAGGCGGGTAATCGGAACGGAAGATGCACACGTTCTAAATGTGAAACAAGATGTCAGACCCTAGATATTCACATAAGGGGTAGTTGTGTTGCGGCAATGTGTGTTAGCGGAAGCCCTCAGTCTGCATTAGAGTAAGATGACCGTTTACTTGGGACAAGGAGGAAATTGCTGAATCAAAAGTTTGATTATTCTAAGTCGGCTAACTGCGCAATCTGACACGCGGCCTCCAGCAACGAAGCCCGAACAGCTAAAGCGACAGTGATTACGAGCTGGACTCAGTAATGCAGTAATAACCAAAATATTTCAGGCTTTCGTGTGACTGAGAAGGAAAACAAAGATCTGTTCATGCAATAAGTTAAAGAAAGGCGAATTTTTCCAGAAGGTAAGATTATCGAAAATGGAGCACTTGATGGAAGTGTTTAGGGTTCCCATAGGAGGGGCGAATGGGAGAAATAGAACGAAGCATCAGAAACGAAGTCTGTAAGCAAATGCACTGCGAAATGTTGTCAACAAGAAATGGAAAAGTACAAATGACCAAATCCGTTTGCTTGTTCGTTTATATTGTGTAGGTGCGTATGTGTTGTAGGAAAGGGAAGGAAAGGTAAAACGGGACGAAGTCTAGCGCCGAAATCATTGATGGCACAGTGGAGAATTCACGCCGATACCTCCCGCTTTGTGAGAACAGCAGCACAATGTAGCGGGGAGAAAATGCATCAGGAAATATAATCGAAGATCAAACGACGCTTGGCCCCGCATATTCAGCAGCCTCACACCAGTAATCTTTCGGCTGGTTAGTCTCTATCAGATAGATGAGAGGTGATCGCGAACCGTCATTGTCAATGCACTGCTGATCGTCAGAATCAAAAACCTCAGTAGTCGTTGTGGACGCCGAGTCGTCCGAGTAGGCATGAGGAGTCGTGTGGGTCTGAGATGTGTCCCCGTTGAATGAAGTATTTGCGTAAATCTGATGCGGTAGGACAATTTCTTTGTAGAATCTACACTCTCTTGTGCCCAAATCATGGTCGTAAGGGGGCGCCAGAATATCCAGAAAAACAGCCGGACCATCCACGGGAGTTATTTCGTGCAAGTTTCCCTCGTCAGGTGCAAGCAGCTGCGTTTGGCTTTCGGGGGTGAGGATCACGTCTTGGAAAGGGCGGACCATAATCAAATCGGACAACTGCCATCGGGAATCGTAGAGTTTGGCGAAGGCGGATTTAGTGCAGTCCGAATTGATAGCTTTAACGTTTTGCAATCGGCTGAAACTTCGGCAACGAATAGAACCATAAATGACTCGCAAAACGCCATACATGCCGGGATGATCATGCAGCGGTATTCGCGAGCCAGGACGTAGGATAAAAATGCCCATTGAAAATACTTCATTTTCTGTCACATGAACGTAAGCCACTGGGGCGGCGTAGACGCCCACATCAGTCACCCAGCGGATGTCGAAGCCAATGTCTTTGGGAGTGAGAGCACGCACTAGCGACAGAAGTCGTTGCAACGAATCCGGGGAGTCATGAAGCGAACTCATATTGGAATTTGATGGCTGAGTAAGCTGATCTGTTGCAGTTCTAGCGCTCTGTGTGTCACCCAAACCTGCGTGCGAAAGAGCGCCCTTCGAAGCCATGGTAGTGCGAAAAGAGTGCTGTTGAAATACGCGCAAAGCTAAGTTAGCGACACTAGCGATCTTGGTGGTCATTTCAGTATTGTCTTCCAATACCAGTCACGATATATGGGTGACATGTAGGTCAGGTGCCTGAGCAAATCTCTGGCGTGGTTGCTGAAATGGAAAAATTGTGTAAACAACGAGGTGATCCATAGGTGTACGCATCGTAGAAGATTAACCAAGCGGATAGTTCAGTTCAGTTAAGCAACTATGAGTCAGGCACTGAAGTGCGGCGGATTAAGTTTCTACGACTCCTGTCGTCAGGAGAATAATAAATGACGTGGGTGAAAAAAAACAAGGTAGAGGGCAAATCGAATAAAAAGTGATAAAGGTGCGCAAGACTAATCGGGATAAAATATCAACAGATGGGTGGAAGAAAGCGAGTGCAAGAGCTCCAACGGCTGCGCGACTGCCCCACGTTCGATGGAGTATGCAACCACTGATGTGGATCATCCCGGGGCCCCCATCAAAGAAGAGGACATACACCGGTGTGACGAAACCTTTGGATAAGTTTCTTCGTCGCAGTTTCGTCCAACTCGGGGCAGTGACAACATGTAATTCACTCGAAGGAAGGTGACCACTGAACATATGGGGAACATGACCTATCCAGCGCAAGCAGTTTACCCATAGCAAATACTCTACGGAAACACCAGAGTTTCGTGCCAACACCACATGGCAGACCGCAGCATTTCTCATCCAGAGTTCACACCATATGTGAGTAATACACCGGTGATCAAAGACGGCCAATCATTCACCTTTTTCTGTGCGAACTGGCCAGGTCTCTGGTCGGACACAGTAGCATCGATGTTATTGCAGCATTCTCCGCAAGAGGATAACTAAAGAAAACTATAAGAAACCCACCTAGAATGTCGATGTGAAAGTGTGGCCGATGTCAATGAGCCGAAGGACGAAACAACAAGCAACAGGGGGTGATTCCCATGCACACCATAATAGCAAATAAGCAGTGGAAAGTAAATAACATCAAAAGGTGGATAAATTCAATTCGCCGACTGTGATTCGAAAGCCAAAACGTGGTCAAATATAGCTGGCCAACCAAGAGGTAGGTACCGAAGTGTGGTAGATTCAGTCAACTTGACTAGCGTCGATAATAGTAAGAAGAATAGTGGCAACGATTCAGAGAAGAAACGAAAAAAGTGTGGTCGGATGGTGTGGGTAGGAATTATGGATAAAAGAATAAAAGCGCGCCACAAGATTCGTGACTGCGCCACATCCAATGGGTTAGCTAACCCCTGACGCGGCGAACGAAATCATAACTCTTTCGTCATACCATCGAATGGCCACCTAGGGGTTTCATCCACCTAAGTGCAATAGTGGCAAGTAATACATACTGTTACAAACCTCAACTCCATCGGCATATTGGAATTATTTTGCGGATATTTCGGCATCATGCAGTTGCATTTCTAATTCTGAAATTGCTGCATAATCTTTCGTGTGATACCTTTCCGTCTTGCCTTGTGCAACAATTGTGGCAGTCGAAGGCAGTCATAGGAACGCATAACGTCTACCGATGCACGTCGCGTCCGAAAATATTGCACTGTGAGCAGCTGCACATTTACTGTAAAGCAAACTGGCCTAAATTCTATCCGAGGTTCAACCCAGCCTTTCTCCCATTCTCCTTCCTCTGACAACTCATTACATCGCTATCCTAATATGTTTACAAGCACGACACCAACTAAGCCTAATGATACACTGACTGCGCTCTGCTAGCTCTAAAGACCTAGATGAATGTCCAAGGGTTAAGGAGCCATGGAAAACTCGACGACAGAGAAACTTTCCGCTGCTGATTAACACTCCAGGCTAAGCAAGGCTCCAAACCACCCTCCTTCTGCAGGAATCGCTTCGAGTGATTATGACGACTAAATCTGAAGCTTTTTCACGCGTCTGAGTCCACCAGTGCAAGTCCTCACACACGCGATGATCACGAGGTTGAGCTTTAACAGAGCCTAGTTGTTAGGAGGGCTGCCACTAAACGAATTCATTCCCATTGTTGACACTTATGTTCATTAACTACAACCACATTTTGGGCCTTTCCAACTCATCACTGATGCAATCCTGTACTGTGAAGCTCTTTCTTTTCCACCGTACTACGTTCAATCGAACCAACTTTCCCACCCGGAGATACATCTTCCATCATCGCTTGTTCGTCTTCTCACTTTCCGTTTGTTGACAGTGTAGTTGAATGAAGGACACCAAGAGCATAACACCGGCGACGGAGTTCTGAAACAAATCCCATTATGTTATTTTCAACTGAGGATTTAAAAGCAATCTTCCAGCAACAATAAATACAGTTCCAGAAATCTCAATTGACTCTTTCAAACTCTTGGCCGGTCCTTCTCTCTATTCACGCAACAGTTCCAACAACAAGTAACAGCTCGGTATCCTCAGCCGATGTCATTGCAGCTTATATCTAAGAATATCACTACGAGCCTACATTCGGCCGCACTTTTGATACGTGGTACGAGCACTGGAAGGGTACATTTGAGAATGAGTTTACGCATAAAGTTGACTCGTGGAAATCCCGACTCTTAATCCGGAAGCTTGGAACCGTCGAACACGATGGTTTCATTAACTTCATTCTTCCCAATAACCCAAAAATCTTGATTTTGTGCACACAGTGGAACAATTACGTGAGGTTTTCAGCGACCAGGTTTCGATTCCCAACGTCCGGTACAACTAACTTGAGTTGGCGAAGCGTGATGCAGACGATTACGTCACTTATGCGAGCATCATAAACAGTGAGTGCGAAAAGTTGCAAAGCAAACACTCACCGAAGATCAGTTTAAATGTGTGATGTTTTGTTGCTGGTCTCACTCTTCTCAAAAGTCAGACGAATGTACTCGACTGTTTTCCAAACTTGAATACCAACCGGATATCACCGTTAGATCCCTCACCACTGAATGTCAACATCTGATCAGTCATAAGCACGATTCCGCCATGGTGCAAGAATCAAGAGCACCAGTTTCAAGCAGCGAATTGCATTGACACGAACAACTATACAGCCACTAAGTCCTTGCTGGTCATGTGGTGAATGGCAGTACACTCGCTTTTGTGCTTTCAAGAAACATCAGTGCCAACAATGTCAATGATGGGGCCACAAAGAAGGCTTTTGCGTTCCGTAAATATCAGGAGACCAACCAAGCAAAAGAGCGTCCACAGTTCAGCCAGAAAAATGTCCAAAACGCAACCATACAAAAGACGTCCTCAGTCGAATTCTATTTTTGCAACTTTCAAAGTGAATTTTAAATCTAGAAGAAAGTACTTACCAGTTCTCGCCAATGATATCCCAGCCCGTCCTCAGCTTGACACAGCTCCGGACATTGTGTTGACCTCACGCTCCATCTGCGAGTTAATGGGTAAATCGGCATTGTCAATCGCCAATCATCAAGCACGGAATGTATCCGGTAGTACTTTACTGTTGACTGGAGAACTAATCTGTGATGTGTTTTTCAACAATGTGTCCTTTTCAGGAACATGTTATATCACTGAGTGCCCCAATCTAAACTCAAATGGGTTGAAAAGCCTGGACTCCTGATGTCCCGCTTACACCCCTATGCAAAAGTACGCCGTTGTCCTCAACTCCACAGATTGCAGAGCAAATTACAGATGAGCTCAAAAGAGATGGGACTAAATCGGAATTTATCGAAACGTTTTTACTGGGCTATATGTCAGTGCCAAAGTGATACTCACCAGCAGAAGTGTTGGTGAACCAAAAGCAACGTTTACCCCTCGATGTTGTTCATCCAGCCTCACGTCTGCCGATTGGTCGAAACATCCGCACCGAGAACAATTTCAACCGGTAGCACGGTGTCGTGAATCACACCTTTCACATTGGTCAATATGTGTTCGCTAAGGATTATCGTGATGGTGATGAAAAGTGGACGCAAGGACTGATTGTACGCTAACCAGGCCAGGTAACCTATGAAGTGGATGTACACTCCTCAATATGGGTCCGCCATGCCAACCAGTTGCGTTCGTCCCCCTGCCAAACAACGCCTCACGACCCTAACCTTCCCATCGACGTTCTCCTGCATACTTTTGAACTCCCACAGAGGTCCGAAACTCAGGAACAAATCACTCAACCAGTACGTACAGTCGATTTCACACCGAGAAAATAGACAACTCGAATCAGACAGCAGCGTGCGCCTATGCAATTGGATCCACGACAGCAATCATAGGAACATCGAATCCCAAGGGAAGGTGTAGGAGGGGTGCCTCCAAACGAATTCATTCCCTTTGTTGACATTTATGTTCACTAACCAAAACTATACCTACAATTTAAGTCCCCACTGATGCTATCTTGGACTGTGACGCTCTTTCGTTTCCCCTGTACAATGTTCCATCTCTCCGGACTTTCCCACCCGGAGATACATCTTCCATCAGTGCTTGTTTGTCCTCTCACTTTCTGTAGGACATTGTGGTTGATTGAAGGGCAACAAGAACATAACACTGATTAATAGGTTTCTTGATGCAGGTGAGAGCGGAGTAAAAGTGAGGCAATTCATTCGCCTTCGCAAAAACACTGCTGAGAGGAACCAACCCATGCAGACAGTTTTTACCGACTAGGCCAGCAAGAAGCTAATATTCTCTCAGCTGAGTAGTATGAGAGGCGAGAGAGTACATATTCGCCCGGATATGGATTCAGCTGACCGAGAGCGCCAAGTGTGCCATCATCGGGCTTAAGTAGCGAATCGTTGAGGGAGAAACAAACCTACGTGGCTCACGCCTTATGATTCATACCGCGGCTTGTGTGCAGCTTTTACCAAGGTCTGCAGTCTAATGAACAAACGCGATGAGCTGTACCACTTCACAGCTTTCGAGCGACTTAATGTAGTGGAAGTCGCACGAAAGTGATTGAACTAAGTTGAGCTAAGTGGCCACTCGTGCTTCCACTGTGATAGGCCATCGGATGCCCACGGCGGTCTTCTTTATGCGGGAGAAAA